ACTGACAGGATAACTTGGATCTCGCAGTCGGCCCGATGCTGTGTGTTTGCATGAAGCGGCCGACCGGTGGGTTGAGACTCAGGCTGCAATGGCTCCTTCTTTATGGCATTGTCACTCCGTGGGATCCGAGTCGCCCCCTATTTTGCTGTGGTATAAAATTTTGACCTTGTGTTTGTTATGAACCAGGGGATGTGGTGATACATGTAGGTATAGGTTTTTGCTGTGCCAGCCACCTGAGGCCTCTCTTGCCTCCGGCCTTCTTCACTTGGTCATGAAACCTGGCTCAGGTGTGGGAGGAGAGAGTGCGGAAGATGCTGCGCAAGTCTACCGCCACTTTAAACGAATTCGCGCACAAGTTGCCGTGCCTGCTCTCACCCTGCTGTGGAGCACATGGTGGACATCGTCGGCAAGAAAGGTTAAAGTGTCACAGGGAAACTGTTACTCATCTTTAATCTGCTGATACAGGGTCTGCGCCTCCCATAGACTTTCTGCTGACTTCCTCTTGAGGCGGTTCGGTGTGAGTTATTTGAGATGTTAAGAGAGGCAACTCGCTGACGGATATCATTCTTCTTCGGATTAAAAGCATCGTTTAAGGTGGACGAATACTGAGGGTTCAGGGAACAAGGGCATTTTTCAAGGCAGGAAATGATGTTTACAAGATTAAAGCTCACTCCCACCTCCGTTCCACTGTGGCTCAAACAAATAGTTGAACTGTCATTTTCCCCGCGCAGACGGGTTGAACAAAGATGGTTTATGAACAAATCAGTTTGGATGTATGCTGATGGAACAGGACAGTAGTTAAGCGAGGCTCAACAATGACTCCAGGCTGTTGGCGAACCTGGAGGATAGTCTAGAAACGGGGAAATTTTCCAAATACCCTTGGCGGCTGGGGACCACAGAGATGCCGTTTTGCTTACAGTTTTCGAAAGACCAGGAAGCAATCGAGAGGTATTTTCAGAAAATACAATAGAAAGCTTAGGGAAGGGGCACTCCCACCTATGGCTTATTTCCTGTCCTCAGCAAGTCATATCACAGCGCAAGGCCCAGAAGACCCAGTCATGACTTCGAATATCCCCAATCAGGGACCCCCTATCAAGGGCCAGAGTGTCTGCGCATTTACTTAGTGAACCCGGTTTGAACCATAGGTCTTTCTGACCAGAAGTCGGCATGGGGGTGGCTGGTGATAACAAATTAGTCGAAATGTGAATATGCGGGCCTCTGTTGCCACTGTCCGCAGTACTGACTGATGGATGCCTGTCAATGTGCACTGGCCTGTGAGGTCTGTAGACTATAATTCTATTGGAATACAAAACTATGATGGAAGCGCGCCCACGGGTAGGATTTCAGGACCAGTCCGTCCTGTTGTGCCTTGAAGTTCAGTGTGGAGGCAGTCGCATAGCGACTAGTAGTAAATGCAGAAGTAGAATACCGACAAAAGTAGGGAAATGGAGATTGCCATTTCCTGCTTACAGCATTGAACTAGTAATCAAGAGAGCGCGGTGTTTGAGGTTCAGGGTTTGGGTATGACTGGCTAACGATGGCTAATAGGCCGGAAATGGTCCTCCACGTCTCCCTTGTCTTTATCATTATCTCACTACTAGCGTATACTACTAGTCGCTGTGCGACTGCCTGCATGGGTTCTGCATTGAGTCCCATTGGACAACGGGACGAGCAGGTCCCGTGAGCCAATCGGCGAACGCACAACCCACACAGCCAGTATTCCCGATCGTGTCCGACAGGACAATGGGCGCCTAGCTCAATGGCAAATTGCTGGACTTAATAACGCTTGATACCCAAAGAAGGCGGGTTCGAAGCCCAGGTTATTCAAACCTGATTTTAAAGTATCACTGGCTAACGACGGCTAATAAGCTGGAAATGGTCAACCCCGTCACCCCTGTCTTCGTTGGTATTTTACCTCCGGAAGATAGAGCCTCCGTATTCAGTCTTGCAGAAGAGGCGGATCAGCGTGTCTCACTACAAAAACATGAAGTACTCAGACACTACCTCCCCCTTTTGGCCGCCAGAAAATGCCTGTCGAACAACACGGAAAAACCCTCAATTCCAACACCCATTTTTCTTGGTTGCCTCTGCCTCGTGGACATCGCTAATGGGCAATTTTTACACGCTCGCCATCGGTACTCACTCGCAATGTAAGTGGCATCTTTGCTATTGGCCATTCGCCTGCTTCGAACTACATGACGAATAACGTCATAAACTGATTCAAGGATACCTCTGTGCATTACTTCGTAAAGTAGACGCTTCGCATAACCGGAAGTATCTGTCTCTTCAAATGTGCATATCTGAGGGTAATGGGACGCGTGTTTTAAGATTCCACACATTCGGGCAAGAGCCAGGATTCGAACGTTAATCCCTGCAACATCCGAACAGTCCCTTTAGAGACCAGTTCAGACGACAGACATTTGGACATAGTGTTCCTTTGAAAAGTAAAGAAGAGGTTCTGTTCTGTTCCTGAACTACTCCCTAAATTTTTTGTGAAAGCAACCAGTTTATGTCGCCTTAAAGGTCTAAATGTTTTAACTTCTGGCAGAATTTGCTGCTAGTCCTACGTCTGTTATAAGAAGGAATGAAATAACTTTTGCAGAATCACAATCTTGACGGTGGAGACGGAAGAAAACGTCAAGTTTTTATCGTAGGTCCTTGGTGGGAAATGATTTCCCACAGTCACTCATCGTGCTCTCTGTCTCAACCTTTCTCAGGCACTGACAATGAAACAGGGTTTGTGTGTGTGTGTGTGTGTGTGTGTGTGTGAAATGTAGCGTGTGCGCTGCGTAGCAAACAGCTGCAGTTCGTCCCACACTTGTTGATTTTGTATCTTTCGGTTGGAAAGTTTTTCACTGAACGCATTTTAAAAGGCGCGAAATTCGGGCCTGTAGATGACGGCGGGAAAAATGAACAAGTTGGACGCAGGTCCATTTGCCCTTCGGAAAGTTTTCAGTTCTCGCTTGACACTGACGTCGTGATGCAAAATGAGCAGTCCTCCCTTTTTATGACTGAAAAGCACTCTATGAATTCTTGCACGAGCTATCCCGAATCTCATACCAACATCTGTCCCGATGGGAGCGGTCTCGTTCGAGCGATATATGCATAGGTGACGGTTCGACCGCCATACCCGACGATGTCCGTCGTGTGCTCCACAGCAGGGTGAGAGCAAGGACGACGACTTGTGCGGGATTTCTTTATGGCGAGAGTAGACTTGAGCAGCATCTACTGTACTTCCTCTACCCCATCTGGGCCCGCCGTCAAGGCGGGGACGGGCGATGATGCAGGTGGCTGGCGCGACAGGAGCAGCCCCTAAGAGTGCCGCCACACCCGGCTCGGACCCCCCGAGGCGGGGGTTCCATAAAGACCACATTACGAAGGAGCCATTGCAGTCTGACTCTCAGACTGACAGTCCGCCACCCTCATAAGCGCACAGTGGACTGACTACGAGATCCGGGTTATCTCGTCAGTTGGTAACCTTTCAAGCCACAACTTTTAGCGCACCATGATATCTTCAAACGCGTCGGATTTTTATAGTGAAAAAATGCGCTGACTCATCGACCTCACTCCCTCCTCCCATTCCTAGGCCTCAGCCACTGTCCGAGCCGGTCAGTCGTCTGGTGCTGGGAATGGGCATATGCATAGACAAACTTTTCTTGTCTACTAACGGTCGCCAGTGGATCTTTTTGTATCAGAGACCACAATCCCAAACCGCAGCCTTGAACTTCGCTGAGGCTACTAGGCTGTTCTCAAATAAGCTCGAAGGCGATGCCTTCGGGCTCTAAATCGAGACCCAATGCATAATGGGATTCGTCCATCTCATAGCCCGACCGGTGGACAAAATTCCGACGTGGTTAATATTTTTGGTCTTTGTCAGCAAGACAGCGTGTCTGTGGCCGAATGGTAGAAAATTAAACCCAATGAACGAAGGTCCTGGGTTCGAACCCAAGACGTCCCAAGTCTGGGATTGGTATGAATACTAAACCAGAAATGACTATTGCAGTCTCCCTTGTCTTTGTTGGTAATTTCCAACTGCGTGTATTACTGGTAGCTATACGACTGCCAGCGGGGCTACAGAAGAGCGGGAGGAGCATGTCCCGTGGTCAGCCATTCCGGGGTGGCAGTCACGCATCCTAAACCGAGTCACGAAAAGTGATGATGATGATGACCACCACCACTGCCGCCATCATCATCATCATCATCATCATCATCATCATCATCATCATCATCATCATCAGCAGCAGCAGCAGCAGCAGCAGCAGCAGCAGCATCATCTCTTTCAGGAGATGTGGCGTCAAGATGAAGTCCCGCAAGGTTTCAAGGACGCAACAATCGTGCACCTATACGAGGGAAAATGGAACCGCCAAATCTGCGACAATCACCGCGGCATCTCCTTGCTGAACATCGCCGGGAAGATCTTCGCACGAATCCTCCTCAACCGTCTCAATAACCATCTAGAAGAGGGCCTTCTGCCGGAAAGCCAATGCAGCTTCCGTCGTCATCGTAGGACCACGGATATGATCTTCGCCACCCGTCAACTTCAGGAGGAATGCCAGGAGATGCGGACCCACATGTACTCTACCTTCGTTGACCTAACGAAAGCGTTCGACACGGTGAATCGTGAAGGACTGTAAAAGATCATGCAGAAATTCGGCTGTCCCGAGCAATCCATTCATATGGTGCGTCAGCTTCACGACGGCATGATGGCGCGAGTCACGGACAACGGAGCCGTCTCAGAGCCATTCGCAGTGACCAACGGAGTGAAGCAGGGATGCGTGCTGACGCCTACCCTCTTCAGTCTTATGTTCTCTGCCATGCTGATGGACGCCTACCGCGACGAACGCCCTGGGATCCGCATCGCCTACAGGACGGACGGTCACTTTCTGAATCAACGACAGATGCACTTCCAATCGCGTGTATCCACAACCACCGTTCACGAACTTCTCTTCGCCGACGACTGCGCACTGAACATCATCTAGGAAGAGGAGATGCAACGGAGCATGGACCTGTTCTCAGCCGCCTGCGAGAACTTCGGTCTGATCATCAACACGCAGAAGACGGTGGTCATGCATCAGCCGCCACCCAACTCAGCCACAGCCCCCAACGCGTCGCCGCAAATCAGCGTGAACGGAACCCAACTGCAAGTGGTAGAGAACTTCCCGTACCTGGGCAGTACTCTCTCCCGCAACACCAAGATCGACGACGAAGTCGCCAACAGGATCTCGAAAGCCAGTCAAGCCTTCGGTCGCCTCCAAAGCACAGTTTGAAATCGTCATGGTCTCCAGCTGAGCACGAAACTGAAGATGTACAAGGCCGTCATCCTGCCGACGCTGCTGTACGGAGCGGAGACTTGGACAGTGTACACGAAGCAGGCACGCCGACTCAACAACTTCCACCTCAGTTGTCTCCGTCGCATACTGAAGCTGAGCTGGCAGGAACGAATCCCGGACACTGATGTACTGGAACGGACGGGAATCCTTAGCATCTACATCATGCTGAGACAAATGCAGCTGCGTCGGAGCGGCCTCCACGTGCGCATGGTCGACTAGCGACTACCCAAACAACTCTTCTATGGGGACGTCGCCACGGGTTCCCGCCTCCAAGGAGGCCAAATCCGCCGCTACAAGGATACTCTGAGGCGAAATTGACCGCAGTCTCGACGCACTCACCACGCCCAGCTCCATCTTCACTTCGCCGACCTGTGCGTTCACCATCACCACCACCACCACCACCACCACCACCACCACCACCACCACCACCACCTCCGCAACTGACACCCACACCACCGACTTCTCATGTCCACAATGTCCACGCACATTCACCTCACGCATCGGCCTGGTCGGTCACTTGCTAATCCATCGCGCAGAGACTGGCGAACCAGCTCCCGAAGCACCCACCTACACCCGCCGCAACCACCTCCATTGCCCACACTGCCCTCGCACATTCATGCACCGCATAGGTTTATTCGGCCACATGCGCATCCACGAAAGCCTGCGGTGGACAACCGCCGACTTCACCACACCACTACATCGTCCCTCACTGCCACCTCACTACCCATCAACATCACCACTGTATGCACCCAACTACCACCTCGCACGCAATGGGGAAGTGTGCGCCTCGACTCGGTCTCCGTGCGACTCATGTTGCATGGGTGACTCGAGCCTGAGTCCATCCCGACCCGTCAAGCGCCGTGTATAGGAAGGCTGCTGATTGACGCCGCAGCTCAGTCCACGCAGTCTGTCTAGTTATGTGTGTCTGTGTGGAGTAGCGGACTGGTGGGCTGAGGGCCGGGCCGTTACAGCTCCTTCTACGGCACTCTCACGCATATGAGGGATACGCCGTTCAATCCCCGTTGTGTGAAAGCCTGGTGTTTGTGTTCTGGAGGGTAGGTCGTGCATGTGGCGCGCGCAGACAAGGTCACTAGACTACTGACCGGCTCGGACAGTGGCTTGGGTGTTGGAATGGAAAAGGAGAATGAGGTCGACGACTCAGCGCATTCTCCTCACTACAAACAGTCCGATGCGCTTAAAGCTATCACGGTGTGCTAAAAGCCGTGGCTTGGAAGGCTGCCAACTGACGGTATCATTTGGTCCTCGCAGACGGCCCAATGTTGTGTGCTGCAATTGTGGAGTTTTCGGCTGGTCGTCTGAGAGTCAGGCTGCAATGGCTCCTTCCTAGTGCGGTCTTTATGGCACTCCCACTGCGTGCGATCCGAGCCGGGCGATGGCGGCACGCCTAGGGGCGGCTTCGGTCGTGCCAACCTCCAATCACTGTTGTGTTGCCAGAAACCTGGTTATTTGTTGTGTGGACTAGTTGGTGTGGTGAAACGCCAAGGTGCGGGCTTGATCGTGCCAGCCACCTGCGACCTCCCGCATCTCCGGTCTTTTTGACTCTGTCTTGACTCCGGGCTCAGGTGGGGGAGGAGGAGGGAGTGTGGTATATGCAGTGCAAACTAACGGCACTATAAACCCCCGCGCAAGTCACTGTTCCTGCTTCCACACTGCTGTGGAGCACAGGGTGGATATCATTGAAACCGACGGCCGAACTGTCGTGTGTGGGTGTAGAGTGACAAGCTCAGTGGCTCCTTAATATTTGGCTTCTATGGCGTCCCTATCCAGAGACGACACTAGCTGTTGACTGTCTTGTTTTTATGAAATCCCTGCCCATCTCGCGAGGACGAGGTCGTGCTTGGCACACATAGGCGAGATGTATATCCTTATCGGTCTTTGTGACTGATTGAAAACGGACCCGAATAACAAATGCCGCACATGAGGAGACATGCAGTGTCACGTCCAGGTGCAGGATCGCTCCCCGTCAACCACCTGCGTCCGACTGCATCTACGGCCGTCTTGACTCTGTCATGCAATCCAGGCCGGAGGGTTGACAGAGGGGGAGAAAGTACCCTAACTCTTCTACCATTCGCAAGCCACTGTTCGTGCGTCCACCCCGCTCTAAGTCATCGTCGTTCACGATGGCAGAACTGACAGCATGTTGAATAGGAGGAGATACCAAACAACATTTTGGCTTAAAAGGTCGGCTTGTCCGCCGTGCAGTACCACTGATGTAATCAGAGGCCGATGTCGAAATGCATGTCCTTCTGATTTCTCTGTTTGGACTTTAATGCACTCAAGGGACGGGACACAGGCAGCGGCCAGGCATATCCGTAGTATTGCCTTAGTTCTTTTGATTAAAAATCAAGTTAGAGATCGTTTATGTGGCCCTCAGCAAGACAGTGAACTAGCAACCTCCGTAATGCAGATGTTCTAGCGCTAAATTTCAGGAAGTGCACGAATTTCCGTGTCCAAGTCCCCAACCTTAACGCTAACACCGACCTTAACGTTAACCCAAACGCTAACAGTACACTTAGTCCTAACCCTAGTTTCCTAGGAATTTAACGCAAATCTACTTACCCTTTGTACTGTGGGGTGAGGGGAGGCGCAAGAAACCCCCCCCCGAAACTTCTCTGTGCTTATTTAGAAGAAATGCCAGTACAGACGAAGAAGACTAGAATGGCCACTTCTAGCTTACTTCCTTTTGTCACCTACCCCAGTCCCACCTACCGCCGCCAGATCAGGATGCTGCATGACTTCAAATCTCGATCGGGTACAGAAAGGTCATTGAGCATTTGCGTCCCCGAACTCAAACATTGTCTCGAAAGAAGTTAGACAAATATCATTCCACGCGATTTTTCAGAAATTGATCTCTCTACAAAACCCGTAATTACAAACTGTTGAAGTTAGCCTGTAGCCTGAAGGCTTTGCGAAATTTTTGCTCGGATAGGCATTTAGTTCAAAAGGCGTGAGTGTCGTGCTCCAAGTCCACTTTCATATTCTATGCTTTCGCAGAACTGAATACCTCAGTACTTTCTTATCCAACCCTGTGATCTTAGGGCGGAACTTCGACTACGGTTCATGGAATCTAATTGCGAAAGTTTCATCGGCCAGTTCTTCGTCTTCTATCCACGATCGATATTCGTTTATGCTCCACTGAATGGACGAGAAGGTTTTTTGCATTTATCATCCTCCCTCTGCCAATCAGGTCAGGTCCGAAATAGTTTTGCTTAATTTTCGCCAGAAAATCTCGGGCCTCTTGCACGGGGGTCAGTGGGGTTAAGCTCGGTTAACCCTCCCACTTTCTAGTCTAATTAGTTCAGGCTGGTGTACGATTGGCGCACAACGTAGGCTAATCGGATGCGGCCGTTCTGACCACTGTCGCTCGGCAGAAGTCGTCAGTCAGCTCCCTTTACACAAGCCTCAACTCTAAGCTTGCGTTCTGATCTGTCCCCGATCATTACGGTTGACTCATATTTTGGCAGTCTCAGGGACTGCGGTGCCAATGAAAAATCTGTTGGCATCTCAAGCAATGCCCTTAACTGGTTAGTGCTCTTTCTCTCTGTCTCCACCTCTATCGACTGACTCATTTCGCCTTACAGCCCAATAAGCGCACCCGACTCAAGACGCCGGCACTAACGCGTCGAGTGCTACCCCTCCGGCTTGTGCGTGCATGCCTACGCCTGGTGCAACTGCGCACGCAGTCGATGGGCCGTAGGCACACAGGAGCAAGCGCGCTAACTCACGCGTGCGGTGTGTAGGAGGGCGGTGCCAGAATCCAGGTCTTCTAATGCGGGTCTTCGCGGGCCGGTCGTCACATCTCACTCGGATCGAACACAAGGCGGTTTGCTGGAAGGTGAGTCTCTCGACTTTAGTTCAGTTCCTCTTGCCTGCCATGCATACAACACTACTACACTTTTGCATACGAGATCCCGGGAAGCTGCTTCTCTTGTCAGCTCCTGATGCAGGTGTGCTGGTAGGACCTAATCGAATTAAAATTAGCAAGATGACAAGTACAAAAGATTTTTGCGTGAAGGTTCTAGTTAAAGCCTTAGTGATGCCGGGACGATCGACTTTGGTCCGGCCTATTTCTGTTCAGTTAATTAAGACTGCCCAACAGATTTATTTCTTGATTCTGCGGACAGGTATCTGTTTAGTTTAACCTCGATTTTCAGTTTAAGGAACAGTTTGTTTATGTAGCATTCAGAATGGATATACATATATATGAACTAGGTTACTAATTTCGCACGTCGTTCAAGGAACAAAATGGAGTAATGTGCCCACGACACGACATTTTGAGGTCAGTTTCGAAATATACTACGAAGCTATTAGCTTAAAATTCACATCCGGAGCTCATGTAACAGAAACAGCGTAGAGCACCTTGGGAGTATGATGAAGTCATTGCCGTACATATATACAGTGAGTGACCGATCTCATGAAATGTTGGCTAAAATTCTGAAATGCGTTTTCGATAAGAAGGTTTACTTGGGCGCCGTTGTAGTACTGATTATCTTGCGACATAATCCTATAATATTTCGGACTTGGTAGGATGTTAGCTTTTGAATCCATTGCTTTTTAATTTCCTGTAGAAACCGAGCTCGTTAAAAAATGACTACTTAAGCAGCATGCATTTTTCCCATTGATTTGCAATGGTCTTGCAAATTTAAATATATTTTGTAGAAACTACGAATAAAAATATGCCTTCTTTCAGTTGTTTGATTGGGAATTACGCCGTCTTTATATTTTATACTCGAAGAAGGAGTATAATTAGGTTTTAAAAGTTTTTAATTGTGAGAATATTTAAGACCGTGTAATGTCTATTCATTCAGCGTCATACCTGTACGTTTATCACTGCTCCTCATGAAATGTACAACATGAACTGCATCCGTTGCCAAATGTTATGAATTCTATATAGTATCTTCTCAAAGGCATGGGAGAATATACGATTTTATTTACGGGGAACGCATGCATCTTATAGACTGGAATCACTAAGCACTAATGCAACGACTGATCAGGCTCCGAATTATTTGGGAATAAAGACGGCGTGATTCTCTATCAAACAACTGAAAGAAGTCATATTTTTATTTGTAGTTTCTATAAAATATATTTGAGTTTGCGGGACCATGGAAAATCGATGGAAAAGTCATGCTGCTTAAGTAGTCATTTTTTACCGAGCTCGATTTCTACGGGGTATTAAAAGCAATGAATTCAAAAGCTAACATCCCACTTAGTCCGAAATATTATAGGATTATGTTACAAGATAATCAGTACTATAATCGCGCCCAAGCAAACCTTCCAATCGAAAACTCATTTCGGAATTTCAGCCAACATTTCATGAGATCGGTCACTCAATGTGTATATATATGACAAAGGTATTATACCGCGCTACCGACATAGGTACAAGCTAAAAACCCAGGCACTTGTTTCGCCGATATTACGCGGTTTCATGGCACAGCTGCGAGGGGTTCGACCCCTCAATGGGTCCCCCAGCGTTCCATATATATATATATATATATCGAGAATATCGATATTCCGAAGAGCCTTCTATTTTTCATTTATATATATATATATATATCTGCTGGTAGAGGGGCGCCAACCGATCGTGTTACAAAACTCATTCTTCGTGCTGTGCCTTGGGGCTCTCTCTTGAGCCCAGCCAGCAGACGCTCAGCGGCGCGTAATATAGACAGATTAACATTACCGACAAAGACAAGAGATACTGGAATGACCCTTTCTGGTCTATTAGTCGTCGTCAGCCCGTCATACCCAGCCCCAAAGTGCGGCACACCTGGGCTAATAAGCCAGAAATGGTCATTCTAGTCCCCTTTGTCTTCTTCGGTAATGCCAGTCTGGCTAAATTTATAGAAAAAAAAATACTCCAAATGAAAAAAATCACGACACCACTAAAATAGTCTTCGGTGGTCTACTCTGTGTGGCGCTAGTTACTTAGCCGCCTTGCCAATCGACTGTCTGCGTTGAGTATGACTCAAATATCGACTTGTCGACCCCGGGACTATGATCGACACTTTGGTCTTCAGCCAGACTCGATCCAAACTCACGCACACACTCCACGACGGAGTTCAAAGTAACTTGGGAACTGGCAGTATCTTTTAGAACTCCAATATACTCCCTTTAAGCCTAGTATTTGGAGAAGATGTAATCGTCCACCAAATGGGTACGAGATATAATGATAGTGTGCATGTTTCCTGTGAAATATATTTGAATTTGCAGGGGCATCGTAAACAAGGGGCAAAATTCATGCTATTTAAACAGTCATTGTAGACCACGTGTTGTTTTAGCAGGCGATTGGTAAGAAACTCATTTAAAAGCCAGCAGTCTGGCGTAACTGAAATATCTGGGGAGTATGCTGCGCGAAAACCAGTGCTTTCTTATATCTTGTGAAACGTTAACCGAAATTTTGAAATGCGATTTCGATTAGAAAAGAGTACTTAGATAACGTTTTTAATGTTGATTATCATGCAGTATAATCCCAGGATATTCCAGTCGCACCCGGATGTCGATCGAAGTACAGAAACTGAGACCTAAACTGTCCCTATATTAGTTGTACAGGTTTATGTAAACCTATGGACTCGGTCATTATCTATTATCTTGTATTCTAACAGCGCAGAATGGAAGACGTCCTTACTGAAAATTTTTGAATGCACCTTATTCCAGACACTCGGTGCAAAAAATGGCTACTTAAGTAGTGTGCACATTTCCCAATGATTTTCGACGTTTCCATAGACGCAAATATATTTCGGTGGAAAGATGCAAAAAAGTATACCTTCCTGCACTTATTTGGTAAAAAATCAGCCTTTAATTAGTATACTCAACGAAATGATATCTTTCAGTTTAGAAAATGTTTGTAACCGTAAAACTGTTGAAGACCGTGAAATGTCCATTCATACAGCATCATATCTATCCTTTCAGTAATGCTACCGATTAATTACACCATATGGTCCACATCCATTGGGAAATTGTCTGAGTTCCATATGACCCCTTCCTGACAAGTTTGAGAAATGCGTGACTTTCTTTACATGGAACGAATAAAACATGGGGTTTTTAAACCCTAAGCTCGAGCGCGATTGCAAGTCGGGTTCAAAGTTATCCGGGAATTGAAAATGCCTTTTAGAACTCCAATATAGTTCTTTTTTAAGTTTTTTGTTTGTAAAAGATGCAATCGTCTACCAAATAAATAAAAGACGTAATAATAGTGTGCCTATTTTCTGTGGAATATATTTAGATTTTGCAGGGGCATCAAAAACAAGTGGCAAAATTCATACTATTTAGGCAGTCATTTTAGACTGCGAGTGGTTTTTGCAGGCAACTGATAAGAAGCTCTCTTAAAAGGCAGCAGTCTGGTGTAACTGAAATATCTTGGGAGTATGCTGCACGAAAACCAATGCTACAACCCCCTTAAGCAATCCTTTCTAGTCAAAGGCATAACTTAGAATTTCGGTCAACATTTCACGAGATAGGTCAACTACTGTTATTCTGATATACATGTAGGACTGGCCGCTGAAGACTGAAAAACCAGAAACGGTCATCCAGCCTTTGCGGACATCCCGTCACCCGCATATATATGCATGAAATTCGTGGCAAGTGATCTTGTCTACTAAATAGCACCGAGCTTAAGGCGTGTTCCTAGGTGGACTTCCGGTTTTGACAAAGACAAAGCCGTGCATTTTTCTCAAAAAGTCATTGGTTCCCTAAAGGACGAAACTATGCCCTGATTGTAAAGAAGATGCTAGCGATTTGTCATGATTTTTGGTTGAATAGCCATAGCTAATAGGAAGACGCATACAACCATTTTACTCTTGAATCTGAAAATCCACATCGTTTCACTAAAAACTGGTTTGTACGTTTACGTCTTCGTGGATCGGCTGTCATTAAAACATTCCTCAGAGCACATCCGTTGTACCAGCGTTGTACACTAGGATGGTAGATCGCTGAAAAGTGTAAAATCGCACGCTATAGAGGTTTTCTGTGTTATCATAAACACGCATGGATTTTACAAAGTAAAAACACTGTTTTTTCAGGTCTTTTCTACAAGAACCGAATATGCTGCGTGCAGTCGATGTAAACGGACGCGTCCCAAAGCCCGCCCTTAAGCCCTATCCCAACTTCAATGCTGATCATGACGCTGAAATTCTCAAGAAAGCCATGGATGGATTGGGTATGTCGCGTCCCCCCCCCACTCTGAAGAGAGCGACTACTTGCTTTCTTGTCAGAAAAACTGACCCCCTGTTATGCTCTTTTTGTACGGAAAAATGAGAGGGAAATCCGGCAGAGACGTCATAACTTTAGAAAAGCCCATATTTGTCTTATCCGCATCAAAATGGTTTGGTAGGCCTTCGCCTGATGGGTCGGAAATGTTTTGCCGAGGGTAGAGTGAATTTGAGGCATGTGCCTTTAGTTTGTAACGCCATGGCTTACCCCCTTTAATACCAGGTGTGAGCTACGACCCATAGACGTTTACTGGCAAAATGTGGGGAGCACCATTCAGTAATGTGGAACAGTTGCCGTAGTGTGAGTTCCAAATAGCACACCTAATTGCTAAAAGGAAAGGACAAACGAGTGGTTTCGTCTGTATAGCCTCTTTTTGAGAGTTGGAAGTCTCTGACGTCATTTTGCAAGTCTGCAATGTTGGGACTGACTGTCGTCCAGCTGGACGAACAACTTGTGCAACTGTTATTGATTTTAGTTAGGGGTGTCACCCCTACTTCGTGACGTGGCAGTACTTTGAGCGAAAAACCACCTCATTTTTAGACTTTGAACTAGGGCCGTGTTCTTAGGCTCCGCACGACCAAATGAAGATGCTCACATTGAAAATTATTATGACCCTACTCAAATGCTGTTTCTTGAGCGCCCCTACGAACTCGATCGTCGTTAATAGGTTCAAAAATCTCTGTGCGTTTATTATATCTCGAGTCTTTACCTGCCAAAAACTCTTTTCCATCAAAGGTACCGACGAAGCGATGATTGTGGAGATTTTGGGGCACCGAACGAGCTCCCAACGCTTGCAAATTGCATCCCGTTACAAGGCCCTCTACGGCAAGGTAAGCCCGTTGCCCAAAAATATCAGTAAGCGGTTTCATAAGAGCCAAAGTACTATGAATATTTTCCTCCCCTTCCTCCCATCCTTTTTAAACACTTTTTAAACTTAAACAGGATCTCCGGGAGAATCTTGACAGTGAGCTGAGCGGCGACTTTGGAGAGCTGGTTGACCTACTGTTCTTTACTCCTGTTGAACTGAAAGCCGAAATCTGCTATAAGGCCATCCGCGGTCTCGGTACAGACGAGGATGCCTTAATTGAGGTTATTTGCACGGCAACCACCGCCGAACTCCAGCAGCTCAAACAGGAGTATGCCAAAGGTGTGTTGATTTACACAATCAAAACATACTATTAGGAAGCACGCTTGAGCGTGACTTAAGTATTAATAGGGGCAAGTGGAGGCTGGGACATCCTTTTCGACTCGCTCGCAGACGTCAGCAGGCTCTGTTTAGTCGGATAAAACTTTACAAGTAATCTGCCGGCAACAGAACAAACACGCCTGGCAGTCCACACCTGTCGTCAGAAATCCAAATGATTATCTGGTTGACAATATTTTAATGTGAGCCCCGATAAAGCCTCCGTTCGTATTCTCTGACCTCGAGGATCTTCCTCGAATTTCAAACCAGCCTCCACTGAAAGCGTCTTGAATACTCTAAAGAAACCGCCTAGTGACCGCCAGCGTGAGACCAATTCCCATTAGGTGCAGTGGAGTTTAGTGAGCTTATACGGTATTCAGCAAGCTTTTTAACTATAGGCTTACCTCCACACCCTACCTGCTCTGCCAGTAAGCTTTATGCAAGTAATTCCGCCTTCCGTAATGGCGACTCAAAGGCCGTCAAGCCTCATTTGCTTTTAATGACATTGCTCTGGGGTCAGAACACTTGTACGTAGATAATAGTTATAAACCTAAGTGTAAGGACTTTCGTCTTCTTTAAACATTCAATCAAACCGCCTTTTAAGCTGAGCTGCCCAAGGTGGTTTAAACGGCTGTTAGAATTCCTGCGGCTTCCATCTTTCTAGCCCAGAGTAAAAGATCATTGTTTCGGGCTGGTTCGATAAATACACTTCCTGCTCCGGAGATACGGTCCAGATGCGCCATCTTAAGAAAACTATGCATTGGAATCTCTATTCTCGGAGAATGGATAACCGAAACTGCTATTCTGGATCTCGGGACGGAACTAAGGCCCTTTGTTGGACGTTTCTCCTTCTCTGTCATTTTCATTAGCATTGACAAGCACGTTTGAATGAGGTAGAGCAGTTAACTTGGGGAAAGTAGATACATCTAGGTCATTGCTAACTTAAACTGATCTGTCGTCTGCAAGAAATTTTGAAAATAATTACCAAAGATCGAATATGGTGTTGAGAAATCTCCTGTATCTGAACTGGATCGAAACGGGTATGTTTCATATGCATGAGGGCGTTAGGTCACCAGACTAGTACCTATGGTTATAAAGCATAAAGCCTTCTGAGTTTCGCTGCGGGTTAGAGAGGATGACAGTTGCTCATCTGTTATCAGCGAAACAGACCATTATTTTCAAAATCTGTAGTACTTAACCTGTTAAAACATTCTTATTTACGTTTCTTTTTCTTCGCTTGTTTAGTGCTCCAAAAGCATGGTAAAGTAGGTGAGTTACTCCACTCTTTTGTTTCCCCTTTGTTTTTGCTCGATTATCTAATTCAACGTCTAAATTCCTCATCCGTTATCTCATAGGATCCATCGACAGTTTGGAGGAACACATAAAGTCCGACACCAGCGGTTACTTCCGAAGAATCCTCCTCGCTCTGCTCGCAGCCCAAAGGCCTGAACCGACTGAGGATCAGATCCAAACTATGCTCAACAAGGGTGTTGACACATTTATCGATAGAAAGGCTGCCAGGGCAGATGCCGAGGCCCTCTACAACGCTGGAGAAAAGTGAGTCTTCAGACCTCCTCTCTTTTTGCAAACACGAAGTATTATCAAAGAAAATAAGGGCGACTGGGATGGCCATCTGCGTCTTGGTCGCAATCGTCAGCTGGTCATAACTTAGGCCGGCAGGTCCTAGGACCAAAGTGTGGAGTTATTCAGAAAGCCGAATGCGCAACCAGTTGTTTCACGCGTTCGGGCTTTCTCGTTTCCAATTGGGTGGGTTCAAGGTCACTCGGGGGTGGCATTCGTCAATGTGACCGGATTGCTGGCCGGAGCGCGCACACTCGGGGGTGGCCACACAAGGACGAGCAAGCAACTAGGAATTGGCACCAAAATATGGCCCAGTATCCAAGTGAAAAGACACAGGCGAACTGCTGTGTGCCACAATTCCTTGACCACTTTGCTTGCCCGCTACCTTAGATGTATCATAAAGTAGAGCTGCGAAGAATTGCAGAGGGCCTGACTAAGAAAGCGATTCCAAAGTGCTTTTTCTCTCCGATCTCCGTTTTTAATTAGATTTCTGAATTTGTTTACGTCAGAGAGTGTTGAGGGGTTTGTTCAATAAAAAATAAATGCTATCGAGTACATCTTGGTTCCTCCGATGGAATAGCAACGCGACACTACGGAGGAAATCTGAGGCGTGCGCTGGTATACTTGGGGCACAAATGAAGTACACTTTATAGAATTAATGGAATTTAGATTAGCAAAATCCTAAAAAATATAGACTGCCTCGCTATATGGTTGCTTTGTTCCAAGCAAACATTCTTAGTATTTAAACTTTGCTTGTAAGTATTCAATCGTATGGCTAGCCACTTTGGTAGTTTCAAACGAAATTTTATGTTTATTACAACAGACAAAACGCATGATATGCTGTTGGCGCACATTCTTAATGCCAAAATGTTGTTTTTAGGAAGCTTGGAACAGATGAGGCCACATTCATCAACATTCTCTGCAACAGGAATCCATGGCAGCTGATGGCAATCAGCAAGGCTTATGAGGAGGTAAGGTGATGCGCTAGCAATCATTGGCAGACTTTTTCTCAAAAAAGTACGAGGGCTTTATGCAGCCTAAACTGGAAAAAAGAGAGGCTTACACCTTCACCAAGACTAAATTTGAGGACAGCATAAGTCGGCTATTTCAGATGGGCTGTTAAGAAACACTAAAGAGCATTGGACAATTTGGGCAGCACACCTGAACGAGTCACCTACATGATCTGTTAGTTGTATAATTTTTGTAACCGCGTTTTTGAAGAAAGTTGTGTACTTTGTTTCAAAAAGAATGTGCACAAAATTCTAGAGGAAGGCATACGTCCTACCTCCTTCTCGCGCTAAATTTATGTAGCATATTTGCAGCATGAGTAGCAGTTGAAAGCCAAGGCACATGTTTCACCGAGTTTGTGCCATTGCATGGCACAGTTTCGCGGAGTTCGGTTCATCAGTGGGTCTCCCAACACTCAACGTAGGATTTATGGAATAAAGTCCATGTTCGGTGTCATTCCTTTTTAATTGCCTCAGAAATAAATGTACTGATGAACCGAGCCCCTCGGTGGAACACGTGTATGAGCCTCTAGCTACTACCCCTGCTGCGGGTATGATAGATTACTCAGCATTTGTATATTGCTGACCATAAGTGGGTGGATTGTTGTTATTACACTGCAAATCCGCCGAAGCTGATGAATTTCAGTTCAGTTGTTGTTATCAACTATGAGACAAAACCTGAGAAGTTTTGTGCAGAAGAATTCATTCCAAACTCACACATTTATCTCGAAGAAAATTGGTCTGGCTCATCAAAGTCAAACTGTAGGCTTCTTCATGCAGTCAGATAGCCTAAGGAGCAATTCCTGATTCCTTCTCTATCACTGTATCCGCCTCTCTTTGGTCTGATTGTTTATGTCATGTGGGACTTCTTCATTCTTTCGAATGTACAAATTGCCTTTCAGATCAGCAAACTGCGTCTAATCGAAGCAATCGCCAGTGAGACTTCCGGGGACTTCAAGCATGCCCTCATCACCACACGTAAGTTAGACTTCATAAACATTCGCCTATAGCGTGTAATCTATTGCGCACCCCGTCAACTCGCACTAATTTGGTGTGTCTCCCTTGACAGTGACGGCACAAATTAGTCGTCCAATGGCCTTCGCCGAACTTTTGAACAGGGCGATTGCTGGCCTGGGGACAAATGATGATGAACTTATGCGCATAGTGGTTTGGCGGTCAGAGGTAAGAGATTGTTTGACTTTTTTATTATTGAGTCGGTATTGTTACCTAACCTACCGTCTCACCAACGGCTATTCTGTCAATGGTTATTTTGAATAGGGGATTAGGTGTCCTCCGGGTTGGGAGAAGGGGTAACGAGTTTTGATTGAAATTTTAATCTCACAAGAGGAGCGCAACAACTGGGGTAAAGACACGAAGTGAAGAGCGGGGCTCATCTCCGGCATCGATAGACAGATGAATACTGTGCCGAAACCGAAATATTCTTTGGACCTAGGTTTTTAACTAAACTGTCTATTCCGCCGAAGTTCTCGAAAACATTCGTACATATAGTGCATATTTACGTCAGCTTTAAAATATCGTTTGACGAAACGTCATCATTTAAGTGCAAAGTTTAAGTAAGTTTGGCATTTGTATTGCTGAAAATGGGCCGCAATTCTGGCCAGCGATGTCGCGAGCCCTCCTGATCTAAGCGGCAAAGACATCGTATCGAGCGCGCTGGGTTCACTTGATTACCTGTTTACTAACTGTTCGCCACAATTCAGCCAATGCTTCTAAATTTCTCTGGTTCAACTTCCAATGTTTTCATGTCACTTAATAGCCTGTTGGATAACAAACAAGTCGCGCAGCTGAAAGCATTGGAAGCCTCTGACTAGAATCTGCTTCCCCACTTTCCAGACGATTGAGACGTTGGGGTTCTCGTAAAAATTAAGAGGTCAGTAACCAGTGTGCTGTCGATGCATTGAGCCCAACAAATGAGATTCGCGTTCAGGCAGCGCAATATTTCTGTCCTCCTGAAGGTCTGGATGACGTTAGACTTGATAGCTAGGAAGTTGCGGGGTTTCAGATCTCCTGAAAGGCGGTATGCTTTGGCACCGATATTTTCAGCCTCTGTTGGCCTTGTATGACCCAAGTTTGGCCAATCTGAGTTCACAAGGGTTTACGATTTTCTTAGAGTACATACATGTTTCGCTCGTTTTTTTAGGTTGACATGGAAGACATCAAGAACGCCTACCTGACTCGATACAACGAGTCTCTGGAGGAGGCTATCAAAGAGGACACGTCTGGGGACTACGAGAAGCTTTTACTGGCACTAATTGGGTGTTAATAGCTCATTTCATTAGCTTTTTTCCTGATTATATTTCCAAACAGTAAATTCTTTTTTCCAAATTTAAATAAATCCGTTCGGAGCTCCAGGCTTTGTTTTCGTTTCAGTCAGCCTATACTTCTGCGGTAAATTTGAGAAGACAAACATTGAATAGTTTGCACTCCCCGAACAGAACCCGGCTCACATGCATTGCGTTCTGATGCTGCGCCTTCAAACTTTAGGAAATAAATGGTAATAGATCATGAAAGAAAACCTCTCTGCGGATTAAGGTGCTCATATTTGCGCCTGGAAATTTAGGAGAGATAATTATTTGGATCGAGGCGTACAGTCGGCAATCAGGGACGAAAAACGTAGATGATAAGGAGCAGCTAGGCGGGTAAAGTCACAGTTCGTTCCAATGTGCATGGTTCCTTTTTTGGTCTGCTGTGCCACGCACTGCACCAACACAGGGGCTAGGTAGGGGTCTGGCAGGCGTGAAAGCGAGTGCGCACCCATAACAAATGCCAACATTGGGGATGTCGTGGCGGTAGGTCTAGGCGCAGGCCCACACCGCGCCTGATGAGGTTCGAGCCGGCCCCTCGTTTTCTTGTGCAGAATCCTGGCCAGTGTAGGTTTTGGACCAGTGGGTGTGGATATATGCCTAGATGCGGGTTTTCTCGGTGTCAGCCAGCTGGACCCTCTCCTGCCTCTCGTCTTTTTGACTCTGTCATGTCACCGGGCCCAGGTGAGGGAGGAGAGAGTGCGGTGGGTGCTGTACAAGTCTACCATCATTATAAAAGAAATCACGTGCAAGTCAACGTGTCTGCTCTGTCTTGCAGTGAAGCACACCGTGGGCATGGTAGGGCAACGACGTTTGGGCTGTCATGTGGCCACCACAAATTCATATGTAATTTGGACCATAAAGTACTTTGGATAGAGCAGGGGAAAGGTCGCTTGGCGATAAGCTTTTGAAGTTGACGACGGCACAGAAACTGTTTAGTGCGTGAATTAGCCTGGACCCTGATGCACTGACGCCGAAGATGTCGAGCTGGTGCACTCACACATTAATAAAACAGAACCTGACAGTAAATGCTGAAGCAGGAGCGCCTGCTAAGTTAGCAGTGATGCTGACAAGTGCTAAAGGTCTTTCTGTTTGTGAGTGTACACGCCACCGACTTTCTGCCGAACAGAAACTGATTTAGACAGAATGTTATTACTGGTAAAGACAAGGGAGACCGAAATGACCACTTCTGGCTTATTAGCCGTCGTCAGCCAGTCATACCCAAACCCGAAGTGTGGAATACCTGGGGCTCAGTGGTTAAAGGCGTTGGACTTCTAACTAACAGATCGCGGGATCGGGCCCCAGGTATTTCACACTTCGGGGTTGGGTATGACTGGCTGACGACGGCTAATAAGCCAGAAGTGACCATTTCAGTCTCCCCTGTCTTTGTCAGTAATAACATACTGCCTATAGCTTGCGCCGCTGCGTGGCTGCTGGTTGGGCTCGAGAGAGAGCCCATAGGGCACAATGGAACGAGTGAGTTCCGTAAGAACGATCGGTGAGCGCCTCCTACCATCCATAATAGACTGGCGCAGCATTTTCCGCACGCTTTCCCTCCTCGCCCTTCCGATCCCGTACACAAGACAAAGTCAGGACGACAATAGGCGAGATTGGGTTCAGGTCACCGTCAAAGATAAACAGCCCCTCTACGCCGACCGCACATGCCTGGTCAGTCCACGGAGTGGCGGCTCGGATATCAGTTGAGTGAGAGGGCCATAGAAGCCACAGTTAGAAGGAGCCATTGCAGTCCAACTTTCGGTCCTGAGAGCAGGAGCGAGTTATCCCGTCAGCTGGCAGCCCTCAAACCACGACATGTAGTGCATTGCGATGAGTCCAAATCTCCTCACATTGTTGGCATTGTGGCATGCGCTGAGTATTTGTGGGGATGGAATCCCCAGAATCAGCCTCTCCTTCATGCACAGTGGGCCATGTTTTCGCAGAAACACGGCGGGCGGCTCGGATATCACCTGATTGGGAGTGTCATAGACGTCAAATTCAGAAGGAGCCATTAAATGTGACTCCCCGTTCTGATCGGATTGAACTGTCTGGTCAATTGGCAGTCTTCCAAGCCACGATTTTTCGTTAGTCTTGATGGTTTCTAAGGGCGTCAGATTTGTGTCCTGATGAATGCACTGAAGTGACGATCGATCTCTCCTGTCCCTCTCCTCATGCGCCTGTTCACTGCCGGAGCCGGTCAGCCAACTGATACTGAGACTGGGCGTAGGTGGCTAGGACGGCGTGATCCTGCGCCTAGACGTGCGACCACACCCCCACTGTTGGGAGCACGCGGACTCTGTGCAACCTGTTAACGCGTGCCGTGACCTAATCTTTACCCCTCCCCGGCTGGTCCAACGCATTTCCCAGGAGGCTCATTTAGGGACAAAACTTATAGCCCACTAACTGAGTCTCAGCACGGATTCCTAAAAACTTGATTTTTGACATTTGACAGACCTCCTTCTTTGATTATGGTTTGTGATTTGGGGATAAGCTCTTCGCTCATCACACAGTTTTCTTCCATTTTGATAAAGCCTTCGAGCATGTAGATCATTCTCTTGTTCATCTGAAGAATTCATCATTCAGAATAGGAGGTGAACCTTTAACTGTTATATCCTCTTCCCCCAACCTTCTGACGCAGAGAGTTTTGAGTTCTGATATTAGTTTCAATTAAAAGTCTGTGGGGAGTGGGTTTATACAGGTTAGTGTGTTTGGCTCACTCCTTTTCCACCTTTTTATCAAGGATGCACCAGGCATGTGCCAGAATGGTAGGCTTTTTCTATATTCGGGTAATTTTAATGTCGCCGTCAGATACAAGCCGGCAGGTAGTGGGATCGTGCTTGGCCATTTAAAAACGGCCCACAGACTTTTGAATATGACACCTTTTCTGACACAGTATGAATTTCCAGTTATGAATCTCGGCTGCCACCGTTGACCCCAAATTTATCATCGATAGTCACAGCATAAATGAGCTAAGAGTTATTAAGTATCCAGGTATATTGGATTTCATGCGCGACAGTTTTTGGCATTTAACGCCTAGATTGTGTTCAAAACACGCGAAATGATCTCCTTTATTGGCCAGGATTTTAGAATTAGTGAAATTAGAATAGGTCTCCATGAAGTACGTGCCAGGCTTTTATTAAAATACTGCTCTTTTTACTTACCCTGCGGCGCGCACCCGAGTAGACGGCAATTTAACCCATTCAACATCTATTTATCAGAAGAATTCTGCTCTCCGAATATCGCAATTTGACTTCCCAAGAAGTCGATGTTTTCAATCTTTATAAAAGTCACTATTTTGCTGTTTAAGTCATTGGATTGCTCTACTTTTAGGCTGATGACTGCTTCAGAGCATCATGAGCACCGTCGACGCTGTAGTTACCACATGAACCTTTTATTTTTTTCTCTGGCACGCACAGTTGAATAAAGTTAGTCTTTTTCTGTCAACGCAACTGTTAGCCGAAATACGTTACTTGAGAAAACAAACGTTACACAACATTATCCTTCAGCTAAAGGGATTGCTACTCGCTGTTTGCGTTCTGAGCAGTTTTCGCAACTTGCGGTCGTCGAAAACATTAAATTCATCTTTCGTGGTGATGAATTGCTTGGACCACCACCTGCATCCCTTGCTTTGATCCAGGGAACGCTGTTAACTCTGCTAGTCGGCGGTCGATTTTTCAGTTAGCGGCGAACAACTGTTTCCTCCCCCCCCCCTTCCTCGTGTCCTCCCAGTGCCTAAAAGACCTGAAATTATTTCTCCTTTTCCGTGTGTGTTGTTTGTTAAGAGCGAAAAATTTTCTTGGCAAGATCTTGCCGGAATTCCGGCGAATATTTTTAACCACGTCTGACAGCTAACGGGAAATTAGGCTGCGGACTAGGCCCGCATCTCTGCGGCGACGGGAAATAAGAGAATACAAAACTGAAGTGCCAAGGTTGAGGAGCAGGCCTACACTCTGATCTCTGTTTTCACTAACTGCACATCCATCAGGCTGATCGTTGCGAGCGAGGATGTCACCGTGTGGGCACAAAACGGTGCCAGACTTGCGCAGCATCTACTTCACCCTCTCCAGACCCAGTTGCAAGACGCAGTCAAGACGCCAGGAAGCGGGATCGGGCGCGAGTGACTGACGCAGCTAACTAGTCCATCTACGCGAGCCGCACACGCCTGGTCCACTCACGATGAACTAGGTTTTTGGCTAGGATCCCATTTACGTGAGAGTGTCGTAGAGGTTACATTCAAAAGAGGCTATTGCAGACTGATTCTTCTTCCTGAAAGGATCGAGTTACCCAGTCTCCAAATCACGACCTTTAACGCCTCGTAAGATTTTCAAACGTGTTAGATTGTTTGTAGTGAGGAAAAGCTCTAAAGTGCCGTGGGGATGGACTCCTCGGAATCGACCACACTCTCTCTTCCCTGTCCCCGTATATGTATGCTATGTGCGACCTCCTTAGGCCCCAGGGTGCACCAAAGAACATGCTTCTCAGTTACGTGCGAGAAGTCTATTTTGTGCTTGGTGTAGGTAATGTGGATCGGCTCTGGATGTGATGTGTGGGTTGGTCTGATGAAGCGTGATGATGGGATTTGGCGTGTGGTGTTTAGCGGAGATGTTCACTGAAACGAATATGATTGAATGTCCATGGACAGTGTGGGCAGCTGAGGCAGGCGAGGAGCGTGAATACTGGTGTTTCTGCCTACCGGTCCCCCCAGTCTCAGTGCTGTATATTCGCGAGTGATTGGCCAGGCCTAGCGTGGCGTACATGTGCAGTGGAAATACGCGCAGGATAGATTGTTAACTGTCCAGCTTCTGGTGGTGATGACGCTAGTGGTAGGGGGATTTTTCAATGTGCCGACATTACGGTGAATCCTAACGTCATGAATGCACATGTGGACGAGTGATCTCATGTGAAAACTGAATATCCATGAGTCATTTTGGGGAGTTGAGGAGAGTGCTGGTTAGCCAGTCTCAGCACGAGAGATTCACGGGTGGCCGACTAGCCTGAAGCGTGAGATGAGGGTACGATCGCGATGGGGCACGTTGAGACTGAGCCCTCATTGCTGGTGGTAAGAGCGGTGGTGGCGGTAGTGGGGATTGATGGATTGCGGGCCTGAGAACCATGACTCGAGCAGCTCGCGGCTCACGCGGTTGTCACCCCTTGCGAGGATTTCGGCCTCTTGAAATTTGAAATTATGGCCGGGTCCCGTCGAGTGTGCCGCCACCTGAGAGTTAGCGTCTCCCCGCCTCACTGCTGCTGCGTGCTCGGCAAGTCGCGTACGGAGTAATCTCCCAGTTTCTCCGACATAATTGCTTTGTCCGCAACTACACCAGATCCGGTAAACGACTCCAGACGTTTCCTGCCGTGGCAGCGGGTCTTTTGGCCTCATTACTTGGCGCCTAATGGTTGCTTCCGGCCTGTGTGCAACACCAACTCCAAGTGGAGTGAGAAGACGACTGACGGCTTCCGAGACGTTCTTCACGTACGGAAGAGCCCGCCAAAATTTGGGGCTAGTTGGATTTGGTCTCTGGTGTCCTTTTCGTATGCACTGGTTGACAAAGTTGCGCGGGTAGCCATTGGCTCTCATTACCCGTCGAAGATATTGTAATTCAGCAACCTTGTCTTCCATTTCACTGCAGTGCGTCTCAACACGCCGGTATAGCGCCCTTACGCAACTGCGTTTGTGACTGATCGGGTGGTTGCTATTGAAGTTCAGTATTTGCGTCGTATTTGTCGCTTTCCTGAACACTTTGGTTTTTAGGCCACCACAATCTTTGCGGCAGACGAGGACATCCAGGAAGGCCAGCTGGTTGTTTTCCTCCTCCTCCATTGTAAATTGAATGTCCGGGAAGACAGCGTTGAGTTGTTCTTTGAAAGTCAGCACCTGATCCCGTTTGATGACGACGAAGGTGTCATCCACATACCGAGCCCAGAATTTCGGTCTGTGGTGTCGGAAAACCAGCGACTCCAGCCGTTGAAGGACCGCCTCGGCTATGAGTCCCGAAATCGGCGAACCCATTGGCGTTCCCTTCACCTGCTCGTAGATTGTTCCGTCGAATGTAAAGTACGTCTTGAGACAGAACTTCAGGAGCTGGATGATTTGGGCGTGTCCGAGGCGATTCTCCGTTTCGTCGTACTTCTCTCGTAGGAGTAGTTCGATTGTCTCGACTGCCAGGTCCTGCGGGATAGAAGTAAAAAGGGACGTGACATCAAAGGAAACCATGATATCGCTTGGCAGGAGACTTACTCCTTTAAGTTTCTCCAAGAATTGCGTTGACGAGCTGACTGTGGTGTTCGTAGTGGGTGTTTGGTAGTGGGGATGCTGGTGGTGGTTATGATGATTGGCGGACCGTCAGGAGTACTCTCACCGGTAGGGGGATTGGTAGGAGTGGTAGTCGTCGTAGACGTCGATGAGTGGTTTGTAACAGCGGCGGTCGGCATCGTCGGCGGCGGTGGAAGGGACCGGGTATCCGAGGATTGCTCACTGTTGGTGTTAGTCGTTGCAGGCCAAGAAGGAGAGACGCTTGACCAACACGGGGATATGATTTCTGCCCCACTAGCGTTAACCGAACTGATAAGAATCCGTCCACCCCATAATAAATGCTACATAGCTGAGGCATGCTGACACTCCCAGGCGCAGGCCTGCGCCACGCCAGCGTCTTCCGCCCAATCGCACCATCAGATAGCTAACCGTTTTGTGGATGGTAGAGGAAAGGCAATGCGGTTAAATCCTGAGGACTCAGTCCCCACAGTGTTTGAGAGTCCTTCTCACTATAAAGCCTTTTCAAACCGTGATACTATGCTACTTGAGTACGAGAATCTTTCCATTGTGACGACTTGGACTCCAATAAGGTTGATTTGACGTTGTCTGTAGTCTATGTTTGACTCGGTTGATGCATAGTCACCGGTCTCTCCGTGTCGATAGTCAGTCTGAAGTTGGCGTAGCCAGAGGTCAAGGCGTCCATGCTGCTTTGCATGACTGCTTCTGTCGTTATGCCGAGCGCGCAGTTATCTGCGAACGGCAGGTCGTGGATACTAATCTGGGATATCCTTAAACGTGCATGCATGCCCTGTGTGTCGGGCAATTTTCCGTCAGGCCGGCCAATCATGTTAATTCCCGGTCGCTGCTCGGGGTAGGCGTCCATCAGCATAGCGTTGAACGATAGGATGAAGAGGTGGGAGAGAGTACATATTCTGCCGTATCCCCGGTGATCGTTGAAAATGCTCCCGAGCCAATATTTCGTCGTCCGGTTGACGTGCTTTGTGTGTAAAGCGTTCCCGACACCCAAATTTCAGCGTGATCCTTCAGACACCGTCGTGGTTTACGGTGTAGAAAGTCTTCGACAGATCCATGAAGGTGGTGTAAGGGTTAGTGTTCCCCTGTCGATACTCCTCCTGCATTTAGGGGATCGGGAAGATTATGTAAACGGCTCCGAATTTCCTGAAGAGTCCACATTGGCTTTCCCGGATGAGTAAGTTTTTTAGATAACCGTTGAGACTGTTGAGGGGGATGCGGACGTAGATTTTCCCGGCAATGTTGAGTAGCGCAATTCCTCTGTGAGTGTCCTAGAATTTGCAGTTGCCCTTATGCTTGTAGGTGAACGCGATGATGGTATCCTTGGACTTCTGGGGGATATGTCCTTATCGCCGTATCTTCAGGGACTGCGATATAAGTTTGTCTGACAGCGGAGACCGCCATACCTATAAATTTCGTCTGAGATCGAATCAGCTCCTGGCGATTTCCCGCTGGAAAGCCGATGGACTACACTGGCTACTTTTGGGGGATGAGGTGCGAGGTACGTGTCAACGATAATTTCCAGCTGAAGGAGTCAGCTTATGGCGTAACCGGAGTTAGTGGATATGCAGTTAGGGACGGTTCTGAAGTGTTCGGTCCAATGCATCAGAATTAACACTCTCTGTCTAAGCAGGAATGTTCTGTCGGAGCTGAGTCAAGTCAGAGTTCTTTTGGTGCGAAGACCCTTGATCGCCTTGAAAAGTCTTCACATGGTCGTGGTCCGTGCATCCTTACATTTTCTGAGACTTGCGACCTATCCAGACATTCTACATCTTCCACAACCGTCGCTGTGCTGGACGTCCAGAACGGGAGAAAGTTGCTCTTTTTGTGTCCGACCCGCGATTTATGAAGTTAGCGTGTTCTCCCCTGAGGGTTGACTTGTGATTTCCGCGTCGTTGTCGTTGGGCCACCCCTGATGTCGACGACATGCGTGATCCAGTACATTCATGGCATTGAGATTAATTGTGTCTCCACGGTGATGATGTCTTCAGGAACTTACAATTCTTCTCCACCCTAAGTTATTCGACTGCCGAAATCAAGACGGCGGTCAGACACATTCAACCCAGTGTTCGATTACCTTGTAGTCTTCTGTAGAATTGAAGTCAAGGCCTCCCTGTGGAAATAACGAGCGGCTGGTCCTCACAGACCTCGGCATCGCAGGTCGTCTTAGTTAGTGGCATGCTTTCAGGGTGTCGCCTCCAGACGAGGGTGTAATCCAGCAGGTGTCAGCACCGGGAGCGCGGGTGCATCTGCGTCGCCTGCCCTCGCGTCGGCAGAGGAACGAGAATAGAGGTGCGGAGAAGACGGTGCTCTGCATGGGTTCGCAGGAATAAGACTCCACTATTGCTGCAGGCTCCGATTTCATGAGGAGCCAGCACTTCCCCCCAGACAACGTGGCCTTTCCTGACGCGAGCCCTGAAGTGATCAAGGACAAACAGCTTGTCCGCCTTCGACAGCGTCGCCAGGAGAGAGCGCAGTTCCTCGTTGAGTCATTTCGTCGGAGCGGGTCAATGAGGGGGGGGGGCATAGGCGCTGATGATGGTGACAAAATTGGCTCTCAACGAGTCATGAAACGATCATTAATGTCCTGCGGCAGACAGAACAGTCGTCCCACGACATTTTTCCAGATGGCAAGGACGATACCAGCATTACGTCGCTCTTTTTCATCGCGGTCGCTCCAGAAGTGTGACCGACACCCATCTCTGTTAACTGACCCCTTTCGGAGAATCGAATCTCCATGAAGCCAAAGATGTCCACCTTGCGCCCCATCAATTCTCGAGCAACTGATGCAGTCCTCCTTTTTGGCCGGCAGCTCACCGAATTGTCTAGAAGAAAATTATCATTCCAGGCTGACAGAGTGCTTAACCATACTATAGCAGCCTGTGGGGTATGAAGAAGGAGATGGGTCATTGTTGTGGATTGTTCTGCCTAGACAGCAAATTTTGCATCCACAAGCCGCGGTCAACTTACAGATGGCGTAATTTCTCAACACTTTCAAGTCCCTTACCCCGCGAGGGGGTAGATAGCAACAACCCCAAACAAGTGTCACCGAACTCCACCATGGGTCATAATTTTGTTCGATGGGAGGGTGACCCAAGTTAGTCCATGCCGACTACGGGGGTGCAGGCAGCTCGTAAGAAGAGGGAAAGATCTGGAAGGACACTTGATCCTCATCTGGTCCAGCCTGCCGCTTGAGGCTGTTACCGGGGTGGGACCGCTAAGTGGGGCCTGGCTTCCAGGGGCCGTAAATGATACCTGGGCGCCAGTTAAGGGCTGTGAGAGACAACCATCACTTGGCCGAATCACTGAGTTACCTGTCATCCCTACACGATGTTCCCCTAACTATGCACCCTCAAACCCGGCTCAAAGGGCACTATAGGGACCTCGATGTACTGCCGGGCTCTTTCAAGCGTGCAAATACTGAATTTTAGTTTCTTTGGAGTCTCAAAAAAGCAGCCCCTTTAAAAATCTTGATATCGCTCTCAAGCGGGTCTTCCTCAAAGAGAAATAAGAACGATAGATAATTTGTGGTTGTGAGTTCCGTTGCTCGTGAAGTCGAAGTAATAACACCTAGGTAAATAATATGCTCGTCTTAGCTGCAGAATGTATTGAACAGGGTTATGCCCCGAGTTAGCCAGAGACTAGTCCAAACAGGTCTACTTCAGAAAACTATGGCTATTAGATGTATGCCCCGTAATGCTGTCAGCTGGCCAAAAAAGCCGAATGCCTGGAGTGGGCCCCCAACCTTACCACCCCCCCGCCCCCCTCGGCACTGATCCCAAACCTCCTGACTGTCCCATGAATTTTCAAGTCTGTGGCCAAACACCTGGATAAGTCATAATCGCGGTATTACACAAGTCAAAGCATACTAGTGAATGCTCCTACTTTTCTGTCAAGTCGTCAAATCAAAAGGATGGCCTAGCAGAAAGAGAGAGCACGCAAGCGAAAACCTGTTGTATGTGGGCGTACAACACAGAAAACTACTATGCTAACGGTGTGCACGTGTTTCAGGAGAGTAGGAATTCCAAGTGGCATGTCAAAAAAGCCATACATCGGGAGAGTAAGGTTGCTAATTTCAAAGTAACTTTACTATGGTATTGTTGCATACAATGACCTTTATAAGAGATAGGTTTTGGACTAATTTTATGGTCAGGGAATAAAGTATTCGGTTGGGATTAAGTTTTTAACTTAAGTCGAGGGTTTGGAATATATTTCAATTCTGACGGGAAGTATTTTGACATAAATGATTCCATATTTTATACTTCAACTTTGATGAAGTGTTCCTACCGTTCTGGTACATGACCCCATCTTAAGAGTTTGGCCAAACTGGGGTGGACCAAACTGGTCCACATCAATTGCTCAGTAACATCGAGTGTTTTTTTCGGTGCAGACAGCCTAGGTACATTTTTTGCGTAAGCCCATCTGTAGAGACATATGCACGAGCAAACTATTTCTCGTTATCCCATTTCGGGAGACTAGGAATATTAACTCCGCCTTTCAAATTCAGGCCACTGCCCTCCCCCGTATGGCCGGGGGTGAACTGAGCTAACGGCTGAGATTCTAACAGGTGCCCCAGTTCACTTCTGTCCTGCGGAAATAAGCAACGACAGGTAGTTTAGTTGTAAATTGTTTTAGCACCGGGGCTTACATGTGGAACGTATCCACGCTATTCGTGCTGAAGAACTTGTAGTTCTACCTATCCGTTGTGCCAAAAATGACAAACAACCCTTAGGACTGAGTCACAGCCTCGCTCTTGTGCTAACGGGGTACAGACCCTCCCCTCACGCTGGCGGTTATCGTAACAGGCTGCTGAACAGGTAGAACTACTAGGATGTCTGAAAAAATCTTGTGCGCATGTAAAGGATAATGAATATAAGGGTACGACGGTAAGGTGTAGTTTGGTAACCACTTTTGGGAAAACTAGTACA